AAACGTAGAGTTGATTTAAACACAATTAAATTTAATCACAATTAAAGTTGAATTCAAACAAACTCAGAAGATTTATTCAGTCTTTCAAATCCTGAATGTTCAGGTTCTTTTAGGATCACTAGTTTAGAAACTAAGAAATACGACTACCAAGATTAGACTGGATTACCAAAATTACCAAAGGTTTAGAAACCACAAGTTGACCAAAGAATGTTAAAACAATGAAACTGGATACGACTGGTTTGGTCACTTATACTGATGAGTTAGCTTAGAAGCTCTTGAACCCTTATCTTGTCGACCAATGATTAGCTTTAGAAAGCAAAAGATGAATTTAGAGTTGAAATGAGTTTCCAAACTCTAACCAAAAACAGCTAAAAACCGAGAAGTTGAACTCAATGATTATAATCAGGAGAATAGCACACAATTCAATAGCTGTAATCTCGAGCATTGACCAGAATCAATTAGGCAAATATGATGAGAAAACACAAATAGACTAGAGTCTTAGGAAGCACAAAATTAAGAGCACAATGGAAATTTAAAGAAAACTTAAAGACATTTATTAACACCAAATTAACCCAAAAAATAAGAAAAAGATGAAGGTTTATAAACCATGAAGATGAACAACTTATTATCAGAATTGTAACACTTAAAGATATTTTAGATTCAGTTCATTTCGATACTTAATGATTAAAAAAAAAGACCATTAAACTCAATTAAGAGGAACCCTTATATACGTTACTAAACGGAAGGAAAAGAACAAAAGAAAAAGGAAAAGGAATAGTTATGTAAGCTTAGAAGCTCTGACCAATTATCACTGTGACAACAGTAAACAATCTTATGATGTCATTGTTAGGGATTATTACAAAATTTACAAAACCAATTTTTATGTTTTACCCAATAGTAAGCTTACAAGCTAAACAAAATGAAAATTAAAGATTAAATGATTAAATGATTTTTATCAAATGATTATGATTGGAATGATTTTGGGCAACTCTACCCTTCAAATTAATTGTTCATTTCCAAATTAATTGACAAGCATCTTAGATCTATTGTTTGCTACAGACACCATTCATTAGAGGATCTTCAAGGTATGTAAACTCCTTTTGATTATATCTGAATCTCAACATAATTTCAATCTTGTTGGATAAATAAACAGCCATTGAATTGGTAATAAGCACTGTTATCATTGTTAATAACAATTGTTATTTTCGATTGAGTTATCGTGAAATTATTGCGTTTAGGGAACTAATGAATTGAATAATAAAACGAATAACAGAGTTTTAATGATAAAAATAAACGCAATTAATGTTCTTTGTTAATAGTGTTTACATTGATGAGACGATGAGGTTAAAATAAAATGATCATAATCTAATTATAATATAAAAATTGAATAATAATGATTACCATGGCTATTATATATTCAGATGAGATTGAAAATATTGTACTAAAAATAACTTATAGTGTACCACTAATAACCGTAATGATGGCAAACAATAATCAATCCTACCAAATTTACATTAACCAAGTTAAATATCAAAGATAGTTTTACATTTCCAAACAATTATCCAAATTACATTGATTTATATCCAACAATCCATGAAATAATCAACCAATCACTAGATTAAGACATGAAATCAAAATGCCTGCCAATAATTGAATAAACCGCTAAAAGCTCGCAGAAACAAAACAAATGCCTTCAGCCATTGAAATTCAATGTGAAAACCATGTGTTGACTTGGATATATTTTTTCATCTCTTTTACACTTGATAATTATTATTTCATTTTCAGATTTTGATAAATAATTATGTAAATTAAATGGCTATTAAATTAGCAAAAAAAGTATCAACAAGAATCAAGGATTTGAAAGGAGAAGCTGGTAAACAAAGTGTTGATACTAATAGCTTTGTTGTTTGTCATTGTTATTTGTTTAGTGAAAAAAGTGAATCCCTAATATACATTATTTCCTCATTGTGGATATTTCTTTTGATTTGTTTTGTTTCTATTGTTGAAATCATTTAAATCACTTGGCAAGTTGAGAGGCTCTCATACAATCAACACATCCATTGATACCATTTTCAACTCATCTTGTGATTTTTTATATAAAACTGTAACTCATATGGCCTGTTGACTAACTGTGTAAATCAAATTGTATATCAAATTTTGTATCACTTTTTGTGCTTTACTATTACTTTTATTCCTACCTTTTACTTGCTCCTATGAGAATGGTTCAGTTATTTTAGTTACATTGGGATTGGAAAGCAAGAAAAGACGATGAAAATTGTTGTTAACATGGTTGATGTAACAGAAAAAGTAAATAAGACGAAATCAAATAAACTGTATATTTTTTTGTATTTTACTCTCATTCATTTTATCATTATTGTTACATCAAGTTATAAACAATTTTCAATTCAAATTCCCATTCAACTGTAGAAACTTGATATAATCATAATTCAATTTTCAATGATTGTGATTTACTTTTTTGCCTTCATTGTACTTTGTATGCTAATAACCATCAAAATGTATGTGATGTGTTAAGAGCCAAATAACGAATGGCAACAATCAAATAAAATAATGAATTTTAATATAATCTTGATAACAATTGTACAAAATTAAATTGTAAATGTTCTTGTACTGTAATGTAAAATCAATTTTCATGTCGATTGTATATAAACTGTTTCAATAAACTTCATTCAAGACTCAATTTTTGTCAATTGTTTCCCATCGATTGCTTTTTCATTTTTTTTGTGCATTTGATTTCAATCTGAGCAAATAATTAATCAACAATCTTATGGTAATTGTGGCTAAAATTATTGCTTTTTTGGGAAATAATTATGTTAATGGTATTCACTGGTAATAGCAAGATTATCTGATATTTTCAATCTGGATAAGTTTTTGATTCTATGATTAAAACTAATGATGAAGCTGATGAATCCAATATGTTTGTGAACCTAAAAAAGCTGACAATGAATCCAATTAAAAAGGCCTTTTTTGTATATAAAAGACCATAATTTATGACCACAATGGGATTTATTAACTAAAATATTGCGATTCAAAGT